AGTGTGAAGTTGCAGCTTGTTTGTGCGGCTGGAGCCACCTATTACTCTATGGGGAGTGGCTGTACGTCAAAATGCCTGTAGACAAAAATGCTTGTAGACAAAAATAATTGCACCGGCCCTGTTGTCATCACATAGCAGAAATACTTAAACTAAGATCTTCACGGCAGGATCACCAGTTCCTTTTCAGTGAATGCTGCAAATGTAAACATTTTGAACACAACTTTTGAAACTACTTTACAACTTATATGAGATCTTATGATTTGAAACTTCATCAAACACCCCCCATTCCCTCACAAAAAGCATTGTGGAAACAAAATGTAAAAATAAAAAATTGCAACAATTTAGAAAAGTAAAAAATTATTTAAAAATATAAAAAATAGTAAAAAAACTAAGATCTTCACAGCAGGATCACCAGTTCCTTTTCAATGAATGCTGCAAATTTAAACATTTTGAACACAACTTTTGAAACTACTTTACAACTTATATGAGATCTTATGATTTGAAACTTCATCATACACCCCACATTCCCTTACAAAAAGCACTGTGAAAAAAAAAAATTGCAACAATTTAGAAAAGTAAAAAATTATTTAAAAATATAAAAAATAGTAAAAAAAACTAAGATCTTCACCGCAGGATCACCAGTTCCTTTTCAATGAATGCTACAAATTTAAAAATTTTGAAACTACTTTGCTTGAGGTGATTTGTAGCCGTATTAGTGCATTTGCGAAAGAAACAATTGAGTACTGACGTCATACTTTTTTTATTTGCACTAACATACAATTTTGAGGACAAGCTTTCGGGTATGTCCCCTTCTTCAAGGTACAAGCAGTGACTGCTTGGACCTTGAAGAAGGGGACATACCCCGAAAGCTTGTCCTCAAAATTGTATGTTAGTGTAAATAAAAAAAGTATCACGTCAGTACTCAATTGTTTCTGAAACTACTTTACAACTTATACTTACAACTTTTGAAACTACTTTACAACTTATATGAGATCTTATTGGTTGGGTTTAGATCTACTAACATGTTTCTAACAGAGTTTAGTTGAACCCTCAGCACGATTGAAAAACAGGAACTGTGAAAAAAGTGGACGTACAATATGTATTGTCTAACTACAAAAAAAAAAGTCCTTTGCTGTTGAGCTCAGGAAGGCGAATCAGAAAGGAACGCCATTTGTAACTTTGCACCTAAACCAGGAGGATCAGTTCCTAGCAGGCACCCAAAACCTTCCATCTCTATTTTGACTGAATTAGCCCTTCTCTCCCTCTCTATACGTCTGCAAGAAGAGATAAAGAGTTCCAAGTGCTTATCATGAGAAAAACACAGACCTCTGAAAATATTCAAAACATGTCAGAGGAAGTGGAAAGACGTGGGAGCCCCATACCATTACTTTAGCACAGAATTTGTGATCTGTGAAACTCCTCCCTGAACTTTTCTACAAATAAGTAAGCTCCAAAGGTACTAGCATTGCACAAGTTTTGCTTCCGGACAGAGAACTTCCAAATCCAACAGCACAAGGTAAGAGATCCGAGCTTGGTACATTGCACTGAGAAATGATTAACATATTCATTTTGGGAAATCACTGAGCAACTTGTTTCTTTTGAACCGTTACATTAGAATAATCAAAAGAATTATTTAAACATATATGTGTGTACGTATGCATGTGTTTGGGGAGGGATTTTTTTTCCCCCACACATACTATATATGTGAAAAAATATATATATTTTTAAATCATGTATTAGGGCTCCATGTACACTGCAGTTGATAAACTGACATTTTGAAACTGTTCAGCATTTTTTTTCAGCAGCCCCAGAACTCACCCTAATGTTTTCCTATGTGTCCATGTACACATTATTATTATTATACAGGATTTATATAGAGCCAACAGTTTGCTCAGCGCTTTACAATATAAAGGGAGACAGTACAATTACAATACATTTCAGTACAGAAGGAATGTGAGGGCCCTGCTCGTCTTCGTTTACAATTGTTTACAGGCATTTGAGTTTGCAGCAGGGGCGGACTGACAACTCATGGGGCCCCCGGGCAATAGGGGATCATGGGGCCCCTGTGTCCTTGCCCAAACTCAAAAAAGCCTATGAAAAAGGTACCAGGGGCATCTCATGGGGCCCCCTACTGACCCCGGGTGCTCGGGCAGTGCCCGAGTTTCCAAATGGTCAGTCCACCCCTGGTTTACAGTAGTTTTTTTGAACGCAGAAAACTTGCATTCAGCAGCTGATGTTATCCCCGTTTCAAATGCCAAACGCGGCTTAACGCAGCTAACCATGTTTATAAGTGTTTGCAAATTGTTTTAAACTCTTCCATTTCCAGATGCTGTCCAGAGCCTTTTTTCATCATGAAAAATGCATGTAAAGCGTTTTCCCGGTACTCAAATGGACCTGGTGCACCATACTTTGAGGTTTTGCATGAAAGAAAATATGTTAGACACTGCTGCAATAATTTCTGCACAGAAATTATACTGGATTTATATAGCGCAAACAGTTTGCGCAGCACTTTACAATATAAGGGAGACAGTATAATTACAATATATTTCAGTACAGAAGGAATAGGAGGGCCCGGCTCGTGGAGCTTACAATCTAAATCTGAGCTGGAACACATCCAAACGCCTCAAAAAAAAAAAAAAAAGACAGCTAATCTCAACAAATACTGCTCTCTCTGCTTCTGCTCTCTCTATTCCTTTCAATATGTCTGCAATAGTTAATTTTGTACTGTTTTTCAGTGCATTCTGGGCATTTTGGAAGGTCTCCTGAGGTTATCTTTAAAAAAAACGCTTCTAAACGCAAACACTCATAAACGTGCAGAAATGCGTATAAACGCGGTATGCAAATGCGGCTAAACAGCTGTTTTTTAACCTACGTTTTCCAGCAGTCAGTTTCCATCATTCAGAAGTGTACATGGGGCATTATAATTTAATAATAATATTATATATATATATATATATATATATATATATATATATATATATATATATAAAACTATCTATGGTTATTTATCAGTATTCATATATATTTATGACATTTTTATACTGTCATATACAAATGATGAGTGCGTGAATTCTGTGTATGTATGCATGTGTTTGTGTTTGGGGAGAGAGTTGTTTTTTCTTTTTCCTTTGTGTGTGTGTGTGTGTGTGTGTATATATATATATATATATATATATATATATATAGTGTATATATATATATAATATACACACACATACTATATATGTAAAAAAAAAAGTTTTTAAATCATGTATTGTAATTAAATAATAATTATATATATTTTTAGAAACCATATATGGTTATTTATTAGAATTTACATATATTTCTGAAATATTTATACTGGTCATATACATATGATGACTGAGTGGATTATGTGTATGCAGCATGTGTTTGTTTGGGGAGAAATGTTTTCCTTTTTTTGTGTGTATATGTATATGTATTTTTATATATATATATATATATATATATATATATATATATATATATATACTTATTTATTTCAGGTACTTATATAGCGCCATCAATTTACTCAGTGCTTTACATATATATTGTGCATTCACATCAGTCCCTAACCCCAAGGGGCGTACAATCTAAGGTCCCTAACTCACATTCACACATACTAGGGTCAGTTTACACAGGAGCCAATTAACCTGCCAGCATGTCTTTGGAGTGTGGGAGGAAACCAGAGTACCCGGAGGAAACTCATGCAGGCACAGAGAGAACATGCAAACAAACACCAGGCAGGTGGTGCCATGGCTGGGATTTTATATATATATATATATATATATATATATATATATATATATATATATAGTTACATAGTTAGTATGGCTGAAAAAAATCAAAGGTCCATCCAGTTCAACCAATAAAATTATTTATTTCAGGTACTTATATAACGCCGTCAATTTACGCAGCACTTTACATATATATTGTACATTCACATCAGTCCCTAACCCTCAAGGGTGTACAATCTAAGGTCCCTAACTCACATTCATACATACACATAATTATAGTGCTTGATTTAAAAAAAAATATATATATATAAATATATATATATATATATATATTTTTATATATTTTTTTTCTATGCATTATAATTAGAAAAAAATACTAACAAAAAAAATCTATCTATATTTTTTAATTACAATAGATTTTGTTTTATATATATATACATACATATCTTACAATCTACTGCAGCATTTCTTTTAATACAAATTAATAAAAATTGCATATCTGCACAATCTGCACAATCAGGTGTGCAAACTAAATGCAGTTCTGCTTATTAGCTTATTAGCGTGAAAGAGTATCTGCTTTCATAAGATGCAATTATCATCTGTATATGATCAATGTAAAAATGTTCTAAATATACTGTTATACATTAAGTATCAATAAATAACTATATATATATATATATATATAAAATATGTTATACCCCCAGAACAAAACCCAATTAAAGCAGATCATAAATTTGAGAATATTGAAGAGTATCTTATCTTGACTACTGTACCAATCAGTGAAGCTGAATACTAGACACATCAGTGATCTTCCAGGAATGGGGAGCTGCGGCTGTGACAGTAAAGAGGTCCTGTTGCTTTACCCTCGCTTTCCTCTCCCCTCATCTATTCACCAAACTCCTTGTATCCTTTGAAAAATGGAATTACTAGAGTTCAGCTTTAAAGACCAGTCGAACTTTCAGTTTAAATCAGCTAAAAATTCCAGGTGCATTAAAAAAAGCTCTTCAGCAGGGTTGCATCTGATCTGGGGGTGCAGTAAAAATAAAGTCAGGGGCATAATATCAGCACTGCGTGTGTGAGTCACTGACAGTCTGTGACACAGTGTCATGACCTGGGGTACACTATTATGTATTAGATTGTCATTAGGTTAGGGTGATTAAACAAAACTTGGGCCTCCTTATAGGAGTCCTCATCAGAGTGCCCCCTTACATCTGGTTCTCATCAGAGTGCCCCCCTTACATCATGATCTCCATCAATGTCCCCCTTACATCAGGATCCCCATCAGAGTTCCTCCTTACACTAGGATCCCCATCAGAGTGCCCCTTACACCAGGATCCCCATCAGAGTGCCCCTTATATCAGTTATCCCCCATCAGAGTGCCCGTTTACATCAGGTGTCCCCATCAGAGTTCCCCCTTACACCAGGATCCCCATCAGAGTGCCCCCTTATATTAGGAGTACCCATCAGAGTGCCCCCTTACACCAAGATCCCCATCAGAGTACCCCCTTACACCAGGATCCCCATCAGAGTGCCTCTTACATCAGGTGTCCCCATCAGAGTGCCCCCTTACATCAGGATCCCCATCAGAGTGCCCCCTTACACCAGGATCCCCAACAGAGTGCTCCCTTACATCAGGTGTCCCCATCAGAGTGCCCCCTTACATCAGGATCCCCATCAGAGTGCCCCCTTACACCAGGATCCCCATCAGAGTGCCCCTTATATCAGTTATCCCCATCAGAGTGCCCCCTTACATCAGATCCCACCCTGCTCTTTAGTGTCTAGTTTTCCTTCTAAAACAGCCACAGCCTGACTAGAAAAGACTGTCCCCTTCCAGCAGCTGTACAGAAGCAGCTTGCTCTCTCTATATTAACAGTGGCCTCAATACATTAGTCCAATGCACTTACTGCTCAGCCAGACCTATAGCTCACCAAAGCTCATGCTCCCTAATAATCAAATTACCTGAATATTTTACAGAATCCCAGGTTCGTAAACTATGAAGCATGATAGGGCTCAAATCCGGAGGGCACAACTTAGGTGGAAGCCAAAGCAATGTAGTTAAGGAAAGCGGAGCACAGTTGGGTAATTCCAAGAGTACCCATAACGGGATATCTGTCGTGGCATGAAGCATAGACAACTGGGAAATCTGAGCCGCCAAGTAGTATCTAGAAACCTGTGGAATTCTCAAACCTCCCTGTAATCTATGAGTATATAGAGTGGCTCTAGGCCCTCTGGGATGTTTATGAGCCCAAATAAAACTGAGAATCCGGCTTTGCAGTACACGAAGAAAAGATGCAGGGACCTGAATAGGGAGAGTGCGGAAAAAGTACAGGATCTATGGCAAGATAGTCATCTTGACAGCATGTATCTGGCCAATCCATGATAAAGAAGGAAACTGCCAAGAATGAAGCAGGGAAGTAACAGAACGCATTAAGGGGTAATAATTAGCTGAAAATAAGGCAGAGTAGGAGGAAGTAAGTGTAATGCCAAGATAAGCCAGAGAATGGGATGCCCAACGGTAGGGAAATTGTGTCTGCAACCGTTCAACCAGGTCGGCAGGGAGCATAATATTCAATGCCGTGGTTTTAGACAAATTGATGCGAAGGCCAGATATAGTTGAAAAATGGTCCAATATGACCTGGAGATTGGGGAGAGTGATGAGAGGATTGGTTAGAACCAAAAGGGCATCATCCGCATATAAAAATTGGCCTTGTATTGAGTGCCGGCATAGGGGACACCGGAAATATCCGGGTGATTTCGAATGGCTGCAGCTAAAGGTACAAAAGCGAGAACAAAAAGAGCAGGTGATAATGGGCATCCTTGTCTTGTGCCCCTGAAAATAGGGAAGGATGAGGAAAAAAAACCTGCATATTTAACAGAGGCCGAGGGAGATGAATATAAAGCCAAGATCCAAGCCAGAAATGCGTCACCAAACCCCCATCTAGACAGCGTATATGTCAAATATTCCCAAGAAAGTGAACCGAACGCTCTATAAATGTCCAGGGATAAAAGGAACCCTGGTATCCTGCGGCGATGTAAAATATGAATGAGATGGATGACTTTACGGATGTTATCAGCAGCTTGTTGCCCCGGAACAAAGCCAACCTGATCTTGATGAATAAGTGAGAGTAGATACTTATTATTATTTGGGTGCTCAGAATCTTTCCCAGAATCTTCAAGTCCACATTTAGCAGCGAGATCGGTCGGAAAGCTTGCAGTTCAAAAGCATCTTCAGTTTTCTTAGGGATCATAGTAATATGCGCCTGAAGAGACTCCAAAGAAAGCCGGGAACCCTGCTTCAGAGAATTGAAAAAGGCTGTCATATGAGGAACCAGAACGGTGGCAAATTTTTTTATATAGTAGCGCCCAGAAAACCCATCTGGGCCTGGAGCCTTGGAGGCCTTCAAAGATTTGATGGCTTGGTAGAGTTCAGATTCAGAGATATACGCATTCAGGGCATCTCGGGCTGCAACGGATAGAGGGTAGGTGCAGCTCAGCGAAAAAACTATCAGCATATTCAGCAACAAAAGTGTTCGGTTTTTGGTAAAGAGAGGACAAAAAATCCTCAAATCTATGAGTAATCTTCACAGGGTCTGAGGTAAGGCCACCGCCCCTCATTCAGAGTTGAACAGGTTTTTGCGTGCGACCAAGCGAATTAAATTTCTTGGCCAACATGGGCCCCGGTTTATTGGCGCATGTATAAAGCCTATGTCTGGCCCAACGTAAGGCCTTCTCAGCTCGTGTAGTGGAGAGAAGATCAAGTTCAGCAGCCACCACATCTCGAGCTTTCCTATTGGCCGTAGTCGGGCAAGCTTTCCAAGTAGCGTCCACCGTCACCGCCAATCTCGAGGTCAATTCCAACATCATCTTCTCTCTAGCCTGTTTCCTGGATGAGGCGATCTGAATCAAATGACCTCCAATGGTAGCTTTGTGAGCCTCCCACAGAGAGACGGCCGAGGATATAGAACCCACATTGTCCATAAAATAGGATTGAATGTGCTAAAGAACCTGGGAGCAAGAAGCCTGAGTGGTGAGCAGGGATTCATCGAGTTTCCACCGAAAAGAAGGCTGAGCCATACCAGAAAGACACAGTGAAAAGACCAATGGATCATGATCAGACCAGGGTGAGGTCGAGATGACAATCTTTTGAATTAAAGATAAATGTTGGAAGGAAATTAAAACGTGATCTATTCTACAAACGCTCAAGTGTGGGGCCGAATAAAAAGTGTATTCCCGCGACATAGGATGCCTTTCCCGCCAGACATCAACCAAACCATAAGCTTGCAGCGTATCACACAATTTAGATTCTTGAGAAAGGTCGTGGCTAGGGGTCCCTCCAGTCGGGTAATGGCGATCGACAGAGGAATTAAGAGCAACATTCGAATTGCTAAGCAATAAGAGAATACCACGTTGGTGATGCGAAATCACCTTCAACAAATGAGAAAAATATTTGTGTTGAAATCTATTTGGCATGTAATAACCCACCAGGGTCCCTCCAATGTATTTTTATTGGAGTTCTCCTTTAAGGAGGATTTGGTTGCATCAAGACATACCTGCCCTTAAAGGATTACTTAAGTCATATTTATTGTATTAAATATTCATAAAGTACATTCATCACTGACACAAAACAATTTTGAAAATAAGTGCAGATCCTAAGTCCATACTGTAGCTGCAGCTGCTGTATTTGGTTCCTTATAACAGCCAGCAGGGGGAGTAATGGCTCAACTTCTGCTGATTGCAAAAGTAAAAGAATGCATCTCTGGGCACCCTTTAGACATGCATGTTCCAGGGAGGAAGCTGTCCACTGAATGGTGTAGATGTTAGCAATACAGTCTGCCCATTGGTTGCTTGATTACATTCTCAGACCTGATTCTGGAACAGTAATTAAGCAACTAATCAGCACAGCAAAGCGCAGCTAAAGTCTCTATTCAGTATTGGCCAGCAGGGAGGAACATACTTGCCTAAAGGAATTCACCCAGGCTCATCACTTCTCATCACTTGCACTCTCTGCTCTCACTGCATGTCAGGGCTCCCGGGTATGACCAGAGGTGTGTGACTGACGCAGGGAAACGCAGACTTCAGATATGTTATAAACAATGTAATTTATTAACACTAACCATACAAACATAAACGCAGTGCAATACTAAAACATAACACAGTGCAAACAAACCAACCCAACCACCCACAGATAACAGTACATACAATGCAAGCGTCGTCAGGCAGGCCGGGTCAATATCAGTCGGGCAGGTAGGTACAGGGGGAGCAAGCGGAGAATGGTCGGGGTCACAGGCCAGGTTCAGCAGGTAGCGGGCAGCGTGGTACAGAGGGTCAGGCAGAGGAGAATGGTCAGACAAGCCAGGGATCAGAGCAGGGTCAGCAGAGAATCAGACAGGAACAGAGAGCAGGAACAGGATACAGGGCCCAAGAGAAACACAACACCAAGGCAGAGTCTGCAGGTCTGAATGTCCCTTAAATACACCAGTATAATTAGTTCCAGGTGTTTGACTGGCTGCAAGGTTGAGTCTCTGATTGCTGGGAGCACCCGCTGGCCAGCCCTGGTACTGCAGCTCATAAGGCAGCTGAGTCCCACTATTGCTGGCCAGTCCATTCCTGACAGTACCCCCCCCCCCCCCCTCAAGGAGCGGCCTCAGGACGCTCCAAACAGTCCTAGCTGGGCAAAATGTTCCACCGCCCGGGTCTGGTAACTGGCGGGATATCAAAGACTGGCACACCGGGCAGGACTCCGGGCAGCGGCACACCGGGCAGAGGCACATCGGGCTGGACTCCGGGCAGAGGCACATCGGGCTGGACTCCGGGCAGAGGCACATCGGGCTGGACTCCGGGCAGAGGCACATCGGGCTGGACTCCGGGCAGAGGCACATCGGGCTGGACTCCGGGCAGAGGCACATCGGGCTGGACTCCGGGCAGAGGCACATCGGGCTGGACTCCGGGCAGAGGCACATCGGGCTGGACTCCGGGCAGAGGCACATCGGGACTCCGGGCAGAGGCACACCGGGCAGAGGCACACATCGGGGCAGAGGCACACCGGACAGAGGCACACCGGGCTGGACTCCGGGCAGAGGCACATCGGGCAGGACTCCGGGCAGAGGCACATCGGATTACCAGGCGAAGCAGCAGGCAGCGGGCCACCAGGCGGAGCAGCAGGCACCGGCCCCCAGGCGGAGCAGCAGGCATCGGGTCCCCAGGCGGGGCGACCGGCATCGGGCCCCCAGGTGGAGCGGCGGGCGCCGGGCCCCCAGGAGGGGCGACAGGTCTCGGGCCCTCAGGCGGAGCGACAGGTCTCAGGCCCCCAGGCGGGGCGGCGGGGCGGCGGACCCCCAGGCGGAGCGGCGGGCGCCGGACCCCCAGGCGGAGCGACAGGTCTCGGGCCCCCAGGCGGAGCGGCGGGCACCGAGTCACCAGGCACGACAGTGGGCTCCGAGTCAACTGGCATGACCGCTGGCACTGGGTCAGACATTGGATCGTCTGGCTGGACAGCGGGCATCGGGTCACCAGGCATCAGGTCATTTGGCTCGACAGCGGGCACCGCGTCATCTGGCAAGGCAGTGGGCTCCGAGTCAACTGGTATGACCGCGGGCACTGGGGCAGACATTGAATCATCTGGCTGGACAGCGGGCATCGGGTCACCAGGCATCAGGTCATTTGGCTCGACAGCGGGCACTGCGTCATCTGGCAAGGCAGTGGGCTCCGAGTCAACAGGCACGACAGTGGGCACCGGGTCATCAGGTACCGGATTGTCTGGCTCGACAGCGGGCATCGGGTCACCAGGTATGAGAGCGGGCACTGGGTCACCAGGCATCAGGTCATTTGGCTCGACAGCGGGCACCGCGTCATCTGGCAAGGCAGTGGGCTCCGAGTCAACTGGTATGACCGCGGGCACTGGGTCAGACATTGGATCGTCTGACTGGACAGCGGGCATCGGGTCACCAGGCATTGGATCGTCTGGCTGGATCAGTTCATCATGCTGGGTAGAGGCATCAGGCTGAATGCCGGCGTCCGGCTGAGTAGAGGCTTCAGGCCGAGTAGAGGCATCAGGCTGAGTACAGGCATCAGGCTGAGTACAGGCATCAGGCTGAGTACAGGCATCAGGCTGCGTACAGGCATCAGGCTGAGTACAGGCATCAGGCTGAGTAGAGGATTCAGGCTGAGTAGAGGCTTCAGGCTGAACCACGGAAGGTAGGTTCACCGGTTTGGATACTGGCAGGATGGTATTGGTTGGAAAGAATTTTCGCTTTTTTCTGGTTTTAACTACTGGAGCACTGCAAGTAAACGCAGGTCTGCAAACGAATGGAGCAGCTGGAGACAGAGAAGAGCTGGAGGATGCAACAGGAGGGGGAGCAGTTGCTACAGAGGGCTTTTTTACAGGGTTAAAGGCAGGATAGTTGCAGCAAGTGGGAACAGGGTACTGACATGCGGTAGATAGCAGGGCAGGAGGAGCTGTTGGGAATGCAGGAATAGAGTTTTGAGGAAATAGATTAGAAGCAGGACTGGGTCTTTGTAAGCTGACTGAGGCTGGGTGCAACAAGTCTGTCCATGGGTTGAACAAAGCTGAGCTTACACAAAGCCTGTCTGGTCAATGACTGCACTGCGTTTATACAATCTCTTAGTGTCTGTGGTAAACATGTGGAATAACGCTCCAGAAAGTAACCCACATCATCCTCTAATAACCACACCAGGGACTCTACCTGGTCTGCACTAAATGGTGGCAAAAATTCATCCCTGCATTCGGGGGTACCAGATGAAACCAACTCAGCACAAACCTCAATCAAAGGCTGCACCTCAGAGAACTCTGTGCCCTGATCTACTAGAACATGAGCGAGCCGTATACATTCTAGCAGTTCATCCCGGGTATACTCCTTCAGAGTTTGATAAGCATACTCCCTGTCATCAAACACTAGCAGAGATAAATACGCAACCTCATCCAGATCCATCCTTCCCATCAACAAGCCAAGATGGCTTCCCTGTGCAGCCACTTCTGGTCAGGATTGGCCTTGGTGTAATGTCAGGGCTCCCGGGTATGACCAGAGGTGTGTGACTGACGCAGGGAAACGCAGACTTCAGATATGTTATAAACAATGTAATTTATTAACACTAACCATACAAACATAAATGCAGTGCAATACTAAAACATAACACAGTGCAAACAAACCAAACCAACCACCCACAGATAACAGTACATACAATGCAAGCGTCGTTAGGCAGGCCGGGTCAATATCAATCGGGCAGGTAGGTACAGGGGGAGCAAGCGGAGAATGGTCGGGGTCACAGGCCAGGTTCAGCAGGTAGAGGGCAGCATGGTTCAGAGGGTCAGGCAGAGGAGAATGGTCAGACAAGCCAGGGATCAGAGCAGGGTCAGCAGAGAATCAGACAGGAACAGGATACAGGGCCCAAGAGAAACACAACACCAAGGCAGAGTCTGCAGGTCTGAATGTCCCTTAAATACACCAGTATAATTAGTTCCAGGTGTTTGACTGGCTGCAAGGTTGAGTCTCTGATTGCTGGGAGCACCCGCTGGCCAGCCCTGGTACTGCAGCTCATAAGGCAGCTGAGTCCCACTATTGCTGGCCAGTCCATTCCTGACACTGCATCTGGATTTGTGACTACAAAAGGCGATATTGAGAGCAGAATGAATTTAGATACGTGCACAAAGGAAACTGATGCAGAGGAATCTCTGGAATGATTCTAGGGCATTTATGGGAACTAAATATACACATAATTTTAAATAAAAAGGATGAAACAATTGAGAATTGAAACGCCAGGCATATACTGTATGTGATTTTTTACTTTAGTTTCCCTTTTGTCACAGCCCCCCCCGTCTCTCTCACCCCCCCGATCGCCCTTTGCTCCCACTGCCACAGTATCCCTGCTGCCATCTGGAGCCCCGTAGCACCGGGCAGTCGGCCTCCCTGCTGTGCCTGCATGTGGATTCCCCACATGCAGGCTACTGATCTACCACCACATGCTCCCCCCCTCCCCTGTCTCAGTGGGCACAGTGCCACCCAGTATTTCCTAGGCTCCATGCCCTCTAGAGACAAAGGTGATATGGAAGGCAAATCTGGAGAAGAACAGGGCCCATCTGGCCTGGCGTGGTTTGAGGCATTTAGCAGTCCTTAAGTATTTCTAGATTTTTGTGATCTGTGTAAATTAGAATCGGATGTGTAGCCCCTTCTAACAAGTATCTCCATTCTTCTAGAGCTACTTTAATTGCCAGAAGTTCCCGGTCCCCTATGTTGTAGTTCTTTTCAGCTGAAGAGAGTTTCCGAGAAAAGAAAGCTACTGGATGCATCAATTCTTTAAGTTCTTTCCTCTGTGAAAGAACTGCCAAAATTGCGTTTTCAGATGCATCTACTTCCAGGATATATGGTAGTAAAGGGTCAGATGGCTTAAGATAGGAGCCGCTGTAAATAATTCTTTTAGAGTTTCAAAAGCAGCCTGCGCCTCAGGGGTCCAGCGGAAGCAAACCCCTAGCTTGGTGAGTTCAGTAATGGGTGAAATGAGGCTTGAAAAATTCTTGATGAATTTTCGATAGAAATTAGCGAACCCAATGAATCGTTGAACTCCCTTTTTGTCTGAGGGTACCGGCCATTCCAGGATTCCTGTAATTTTTTGGGGATCCATTTCGATTCCTGCTGTAGAGATAATTAGACTGAGAAATGGAATGCTCTGCTGCTCAAAATTACATTTCTCCGCTTTGGCATATAGTCCATGCTGGCGAAGTCGTCCCAAGACATTTCTAACATGTTCCCGGTGCATTTCCAGAGATGTGGAGAAGATCAAGATGTCGTCCAGATATATTACGATGAAAATGTCAAGGTAGTCTCTGAAGACATCATTGATGAAATGTGGAAAGGTAGCAGGTTGCACAATCCAAATGACATGACCAGATATTCGAAATGACTGAATCGGGTACGAAAAGCCGTTTTCCATTCGTCCCCTTCCCGGATGCGAACTAAGTTATATGCCCCTCTTAAACCTAACTTGGTAAAAATGGTAGCGGTCCTGAGTCTCTGGAAGAGTTCAGGAACCAGAGGAAGGGGGTAACGGTTCTTTACCGTAATTTTATTTAACTCACGATAGTCCACACAGGGCCGAAAGGATTTGTCTTTCTTTTCCACAAAAAATATTCCGGCTCCTGCCGGGGATGTGGAGGGACGAATGCATCCCTTTTGAAGGTTCTCATCAATATACTCTTTCAGAACTCCTAGTTCCCGTTCAGATAGGGGAAAGATGCGCCCGAAGGAGATTTCAGATCCTGGGAGTAGATCGATCGGACAATCGTAGGATCGATGAGGGGGAAGAGTATCTGCTCCTCGTTTACTAAAAACGTCCAGGTAGCCATGGTAGACTGGAGGAATTATTTGGGTGAGTTCAGCATCAGAGTCTATGCAATGTAGGTGTGGCTGAGGATATCATGGGTAAACAGAATCTTTGGCAGTATGAAGAAGGAAACTGGATCTTTCCGGTCCTCCAGTTGATTTGTGGGTCGTGCGCCCGTAGCCAGGGTAGGCCCAGAATAACAGGGAATAGAGGAGAGGCAATTGCGTCTAGACATAGTAATTTGCTCTTATCTCCTGATAAGATATATCAGGTGGAAACACTGCACATGCTCAGTTTGGTGTGTGTATTGCTAGATAGGTGTTTTTTTTTTTTTCTTGGGAGAGTGTGCATGTGATCAGCACATGGCCAATCAGCGCTGTCCAGAGAGAGGTCAGGGGTTCTGCATCCTCCTAGAGAAAACTCCTCCTACAGCAGAAATAAAACTCCTCCTACAAGTTTTAACCAGTGCTCTGCTGAAGTCACAAAACTGGTCTAACTGCTGATGAGAAAAAAATATTTAACAGTTTATATTTACCAAAATAATTGCATTTCCATGTTCGGTGTCCTGTGGGAGACCAGATATAGTGCATGCAGGGTCCAGGGAAAGAGGATATAGTGAATGCAGGGTCCAGGGAGAGCGGATATAGTGAATGCAGGGTCTGGGGAGAGCGGATATAGTGAATGCAGGGTCCGGGCAGACCAGATATAGTGAATGCAGGGTCCGGGGAGACCGGATATAATGAGTGCAGGGTCCGGGGAGACCAGATATAGTGACTGCAGGGTCCGGGGAGAGCGGATATAGTGAATGCAGGGTCCTGGGAGACCAGATATAGTGAATGCAGGGTCCTGGGAGACCAGATATAGTGAATGCAGGGTCCGGGGAGACCAGATATAGTGCACGCAGGGTCCAGGGAGACCAGATATAGTGAATGCAGAGTCCGGGGAGGCCGGGTATAGTGAATGCAGGGTCCTGGGAGACAGGATATAGTAAATGCAGGGTCCGGGGAGACTGGATATAGTGAATGCAGGGTCTGGGGAGACCGGATATAGTGAATGCAGGGTCCGGGGAGATCGGATATAGTGAATGCAGGGTCCGGGGAGACCGGATATAGTGAATGCAGGGTCCGGGGAGACCGGATATAGTGAATGCAGGGTCCGGGGAGACCGGATATAGTGAATGCAGGGTCCGGGGAGACCGGATATAGTGCATGCAGAGTCCGGGGAGACTGGATATAGTGAATGCAGGGTCCTGGGAGACTGGATATAGTGAATGCAGGGTCCTGGGAGACTGGATATAGTGAATGCAGGGTCCGGGGAGACCGGATATAGTGAATGCAGGGTCCGGGGAGACCGGATATAGTGAATGCAGGGTCCGGGGAGACCGGATATAGTGAATGCAGGGTCCGGGGAGACCAGATATAGTGAATGCAGGCTCCGGGAGACCAGATATAGTGAATGCAGAGTCCGGGGAGACTGGATATAGTGAATGCAGGGTCCGGGGAGACCAGATATAGTGAATGCAGGGTCCGGGGAGACTGGATATAGTGAATGCAGGGTCCGGGGAGACTGGATATAGTGAATGCAGGGTCGGGGTTTAGTA